ATCCGTCAAATTTTATTGATTTGCTTTTAACAATCACTAAAAAGATAATCATTTGAAAAAAATGAGTCACACAGAAAAGTGTAAATAAGTTAAATCCCACGTAATTTTACTCTCAAGATCATTTAATGAAAATACATCTATTATATTTTATGATACAAGGATCGGAGAATAAATGATATAATATCAAATTGACACCAGATGAGTTCTATAAGACCAATCAGGTTCAACCTTACGTGAAGATCATGTATACATTATGAGTATTGCTTTAAATAACGTGTCTAAAGTTCTTATTGCCGACCATTAAATTTAAAATTAGAACTGACCATCACCAGCCATCGCACATCAAAAACAGATTTACAAAGAAAAAAATCATATATATATATATGTTGTGTGTATTCAAAAAAAAAAAAAAAAAAAAAAAAAAAAGGGAAGATGGAATCTAAATGATTGTGAAAGCAGCAAAAAACTATGGCTGCAGTTTGATATTGTTGAAAAAGGAGTATTTCGTACAAAGTTTCGTGTATGAAGTTTCGTATGAAAAATGAAGTTAATAGAGGGGTGACTTTGTGGCCAAACAATTACGGTTAATAATCCACCTATCACGAAATGTACACTGCTTTTATACAATGAGTTTTAAGTGGGAAGGAATGAATGAGAAAATCTTAGACAAAAAAGTATTAAGGAAGGAAGGTATCGTCTCTTATTTAAAAAATAAATTAAAGAGTGAAGTTTAAAAACGAGTGGTTTAATGAATGTGAAAAAAAAAGTTCATGGGAGTGTATCAACAGTCCTTTCTGAAAAATCTTTGGAAAAAAATACTATGAAATAGATGTAGATTTTTCCGCCATGGCTTGATCATTGCCAGTTTCATTATCATTATCGCTATGCTTAATTGATTTAACCATAAAGTCTAAGAAACGTTTACCATACCACTGAGGATCTACAGCAGATATCATTTTCTAATGTATAGAATATAAAGCAAATATTAATAAATATTAAAAAATATTAAGAAATATTAATTTTCTTGTTTTTTTTTTCATATTTAAAGTAAGCTAAAATAAAGTTATCGCACCTTATCATGATTGACGGATTTAAAAGCATGTTCAAATTTCTTAACCGCATTATATGGAGTTAAAATGTCAATAACACCTAAATAATAAATATAATTTGTGGGACGATTGTGTTCATCGGTACCAGCGAATCCACCGTCATCCGCGTAAAATATGCAATTTCTGTGTGACTCATTTTTTTCAAATGATTATCTTTTTAGTGATTGTTAAAAGCAAATCAATAAAATTTGACGGAT